GCTGAGCATAAGGAAAATGACAATACGATACCTTTAAAACTTTTTAAAAATTGAGAAGTCGCCCGGTGATGGTAGTATTTAACAAGCTGTGTTTTCAAGTTATAATCTACTGTCCAGTCACTTGCTTAATGCTCTTCAGTTTGAGGATGCTATTGATGTGTAATTTTTCATTGAATTCTGCCTGGTACTCATGAAAATTTGAAGCTCTATGTAAAACACTCCAACCCCCCCTCCACCCCCCCCATATTTGGGCATAATCTGGAATAACTTCGTGCTTCCCAGGAATCTTATTTTAGATCTACATCTAAAATAATATGGATAATATTTATCTATACTTATAATATAGATGATAATGTTAGATGTAAATCTAAAATAGTAATAATATACCTTAATTAAGGCATTCAGCTTCTATATGTAACCTCGATCAGCCTATATAAAATTAATTAAAGGCATTTGTAATGGCCACGAGCTGAGGTGAACATAACAGGTATCATGGTTCAGTAATGACAATTAAAAATCCAAACTTAAAAGTATAACTTCTAGTTAACTCATCATAAGCCTATATTTTTTTTCTTGTCAAAATGAGAACAGAGAGTTAACGTTGTTTTGTGGATTACATAGCAACTCACTGTGTTCTTCAAAACTAAAGTTTTATTTTTAACATCTTCATATCATTTAAATGTGAGTAAATCTAGCAACACAAAATTTTGGAATAAAAACTCGAAAGTGAAAGTTTCAAACTTTCCTAAATTATTTTCCAGTTTTAAATCATGGTTTAAATCAACAAAGAACCTATAAATTCACTGGAAATCCAGTCAGTTTTTCACTGTCCAGGAACTCTCACTGTTTGTGCAGTTTTGGTTGATGATTTTTATTTTTCTTCACTTCTGCATTCTGTGAGTTTTTTTTTTTTAAGGAAGCAGGCTTCTTTTTCCTCTCTTATGCTTTAATTGTTTTGAATGATTTTTTATAATTCTTTATAGATTTTTTTTTTTTTTTCCCAAAGTGCAGATTAGAACTAAAGGCCTGTATCTACAAAGCAGTGACTTGCAGATATCAAGCTTTGTCAGTGTAGGTACTGAATCATGAAAACAGGTGAGCGGGGGTGCTAGTCACAAGACCCACCATGTCTTGAGGAAGGGTGAATAAGTGAAGCAGCCGGAAATGCAGGAGGTGGGACCCTTCTCTCCCCTTCCTCCTGACCCCAAGTCTTAGTTCTTGCTGGCCAAGCTGAGGTGGGCACCTCTCTTAGAGGGGATTCAGGTCTGACCCCAGGACGCTGGTTTGGCTCATGCGGTCACCTACTCTTCTCATAAAGAAACCAGGAAATACGTTAGCACAGAACCTCATGTCTGGGCTGCCCAAAGGGCCGTATCTGCAAAGTAAAATGAAAAGTATCCCTAGGGAAATAAGTTCAATTCTGTTGAATGGAGACAGCATTTACCATGATGTTCACTAACAGGAATTGCTGCTGAAATCAATGCTTTAAGACAGCTGTGTGGAAAGGAGGACTACTCTTTTCCATTCCCGGCTGCATCACTATGTTTCAAAAGCACTTTGGGTCAAATGCTGTCTCAGACTGGGATTTCTTCTTTCCAAGATGCTTCTGTCTTATTCTATCTTATGCAAAACACTTTTATGAGTTACCTTAGTAATGTCCAGTAATGTTCTACCAAGACATTGGTAGAGACACGTGTCAACCACGCTGCTGCCTGAAAAGGGGGAGCTGTTACTTAATAAGGCAAGTTTCCTCAGACCATAATCTGCATTATGTCTTCTAATGAAAGCTGGTTCATGCCAAAATTTTTGCTTTTATCCCTAAGACCCAGCATCGCTCTGAAAACAAGCACCAGTAAATGCTTATTCAAGATTTCAGTAATCAGTCACCTCGTTATTAATAATTCCTTCATTTTTACATTGGTCAGGAGGCACTTAACAATCCAACAGAGTTTTGTCTATTCTTTCATTAAACTAAAAACCTAGATCGATAGTACAGTATGAATGGGATAATTACCTGTCATCCAAATTCCATGCTGCACCCTTGATGTGATATTGATACGGGCTACCTAACCTCCTTGTGGAGTAGAAGATGTTGTAAAAATACAGCTTAGTCATGCCATTTCTGTGGTATTCTCAGGACATAGACTGTATAATTGACTACAGACATCTTAGCTTAAAAGCCATCTTAGAGTTTCATCCAGTCCTAGTAATACGTGTGCAGTCCCATGGGCTGCATCCAAGGATTATGCTAATTTTATTAGCAACTCCTCTTGCTTTAATTAAACTGTATAAATTCCCACCTGGTCACTGTTGTGCCAACACCTTTCTTTCCATTTTTATTTGAATTTATAGATAATCTGTGGTTTCGCACTTCAATTCTGATTTCCTGAATTATCCATTGTGATTTCCACATGAAATAACAAAATTTTGAGGGGTGAATAGGGTTTTAAATTGAGTTAATGGGTTTGAGCAAACCTTTAGATCAAAGCAAAGATCTAAGTTTCTAAAGTTGGCCAAGTCTTTGTAGGAGCAGGTATTCAAAGTAACTTGCTGTCTGAAAGCACCACGCTGTACACTGCTGTTCAAAATACCTGCAAGCAAGCTCTGTATTAACATTTACTTTACTGTGTTTATATCACAAAGCAGAGTGATGTGAATTCCTTAGTGGACTCTTAATTTACATGTTATACACTTCGAAATATTTCCAAAAGCAAATGTGAAATGATTAGTAGTCCGTTCACATGCTCACAAAATGTTATTAGCAAAATGCCTTGGGCAGTATGTTATGTTGACTAAAATTGATAATTTTGTGTTTTAAAACTAAAGCAACCCCCCCTGCCTCCAACAAACCTTAGGACCTTCCCAGAGGCCAGACCTCCTGGTCACACCTGTTCTCAAGGTGTATGATGAGCTGTGGGGGGAAAGAAGACCAAAAAACGCACAAAAAAACCCCAAGAGCAGTGATCTAAGGTTTGCAGTGATTTTGACTCTTCAGAAAGCCTCGCTGAAAGTCTTCTGTGGAATCCTGCAGTTTAAAATGGCTTGTTATCTACAAAATCACCATAAGGAGGTGATTCTGGCATTTACCGCTCATTCTACCTGTGTAGGTTTTAAAGTGTGTACGTTGCACTGGAGAAATCAAACCTGGTTCTTCTTGTTACTTCTACATAACTTTCTGTTTCCAGCTGTGTGCGGTTCTGACAGAGCCAAAGACTTGGACAAAATATCTCATACTCTTTAAAGACGGGTTGAGGTGGTTCTTTTTTTAACAGAGGACCAAAGAGCAAGCTGTTTAATGGTATTTGTCCATGTATCTCTTTTGAATAATGGTTTCCATGCCTCACAGACTCAAATATAACATGACACTTCCTCCTAAATGCCAATTATTCTGTCCAGAAGACTTGCCCAAAAGTCTACTCCTCAGAGTTTCACACCAGGCCCACAGGATAAAGAACATAGGGTATTAAAATTCAATAAAAGCTGTTGTGATATTAAGACTGCAAAAAGCCTATGAACTAGCTGAGTAGTGCTTGTATGGTTGCAACATACATTCTAGCAATTTACATTTACAGCTATGAAGTAATTGAATAAAGAAATGCATCATCATTTTCTTTTTTAGCACACGGGTGAATTATTTTACCAACATGTGAAGGGGTGTTCATATAACATCATGGTGCTTTGTGCTAGAGAAAAACAATTACAGTGAATAAGGTAGAATGGCTCTGTTATTGCAGTACATAAGACTTTGATTACATACTGCCAAGATTCATACCAGCCTAGTAGTTGTTGACAGATAAAGTAACAAAAATGAAACTCATTTATTTTTTCTTTATTGAGACCTCAAGGTAAAGCAAATTTTCAGTTCTTGTACTTACTACATTGAAGGAACAGAGACTGACAGTCAAAATGTGCCAGTCCAGAAATATAAATTAAACCTAGTTTCATATCAAAGTTTCATTTAGTCTCTGAAAAGGAGCTGCTGCTTGGATTATTTTTGATCCTAAAACAAATACACTGTAGACTACTATAGTGTGTCTTGGATGAATTAACCCCTTTGTACATTTAGCTCCTATGTATTCTCCAGGATATAGATCTATGCCTATTCAAGCAATTTTAAAATGTGTTATGGACTTAATTATTTTACTTTTTCTCTGTTTAGTAATAATTTACTGTGTTTGCAAACCCAATGAACGTGAGGACGGTTTTAATAGAGTGTGGCACTTTTACTGAAGGAAGGACATATTTTGACGAAAAAGTCCTCCCTCCAACCTTGTGTAAAGAAAATTCTTCTGGCTTTTACTGGGAGTTCCTCTAGGCAGCTAGATGCTGCATTATTCCTTGATAAGTCTAACAAATGACTTTTTTTTGTAAACTTGATTAGTTTCTGAAGAGCAGATAAAACTAGCTGTTGAAATGGAAAGTGCTAAAATGAGTGGTTTTATCCCATCAAAATCTTGGATTAGTTACCTAGCCCAACTGAATATAATTGCTGTTCAGATTAATGAGGCAGTATTCTAGTATCTCCTCTGTAATTAAACACTTCTCTGGTTGAATACAGTATTAAAGATGCACCAGACGTTGAAACCTCAGTGGTGAAATTTAAAACTGTTGAAATTGGAGGGGTCAGCTGTGAAACACAAATTCCTCTGCAGCATGGGTAATTCAGTTGTACAATGTGTTTCAAGAGTAACTTGGTTTATATTGGGGATGCTGGATTTTTTTTAGTTTTTCTTAACTTTCCATCATCTAAATTTGAGAATTTTTCTCATTAGTTCCTGAGCAAAAGTAACATAAAGTGCACTTGTTTCCGGAATTACCTTTTCTGACCTTTCACAAGATGATAATTGCAGTACTAGTAGGCTTAGAGGACTTGTTAAAAAAATTAAGCTTATAAAGTAGCAAAAAATGCCCCTTCGCTTGCTGGTGTCGATTTCAGAATTAACATTTTGGTTCATGTGCTTCTAATAATCGCTGACCCTTACTTCATGTGCTTTCCACAGGAAATGAATACAGCAGAAATTACTTTGACCCATTGATGGATGAGGAAATAAACCCAAGGCGGTGTGGGATGGAGGTCAGTGAAGAAGGTGAGGCAGAATTAAGTATGTAATTTTGGTGTCAGAATATTCTTTTCCATTCATGAAAATGAGGTGACAAAGATCACATATGCAGTTCTATTTAAATATTGAGGTTTACAATTTAAATTGTAAGCCTTAACCACTCTGAACATGATATAGCAGTATACATAGTCTTTGATCAAGGACAGTGAGTTAATGGACAGGTAAAAGTGAGGCTGTGCTGTATTCACTCTGTTACTGTAGCAAAATGAAGAATGCTCCGAGAACATTGCCTACGCCATGTTCTCTTTAATTAACGAAGTTAGTCTGGAATTGAATACTAAGCTGTAGCTTTTTTGCAACCCTGCTCCCAAAGTCCTTCTTAGAGAGCCATTTTATTACTGAGCTGAACGTGTGTTTGCCTAACAGAAGGAAAGCCCAGAGTCCGTAAAAGTTCCCAGCACATGAGGGGGCTTTTTTGTTTTCTTTTGGCCAGTTTAGCCGAGATGTTTAGTTTTGCTGTCTGTAGGCAATAGCGAGCAGTGGGCGGGTGTGACTCTGCAGAGCTGGGAGAACAGAAGTTTTGCATAGGTATGAGAGAGATTAAGCAGGAGGTATTGTCTAGCAGAGGAAATTCTCCTTTGCTGTCATGGCTTTTAGATAAAAAAGGGTGGGAACGGGCCTGCCTGAATTTGCATGGACTTAAGTAAGAACATCATCATGGTAATGAAGTGCTTACCTATGCACTGAATGCTTTGGCCCAGCTCCTGTTGTTAAGCACTAACAACCTGACAGCACGCAAGACCCACTTCTCCTGTGTTAGCTTCCTAGCCCTTCGCTTTTTTAAGCCTTGTGCGTATTTGTACTGCAGAGACTCTCTAGACATGCAGCTGTAGTCAAATCTAAAAAAAATTGTCTACTATAAAGGGTATCAAGGTCAGTGACTTCTGAAATGAATGAGAAACTTTTACTTTGAGTAGATATGGAGGTTTAAACTTTCGAGGCAAAAACTTGTGTGACTGAGAAAAGCAGGCTCTAATGCACGTCAGTAACTCGAATTTCTGTGTATTGGTGAAAAAAATCAGGTTTATCAAGGGTGAATTACATCTAACCCCTATAATTTCCCCATTCATTGTATAGGACAACAATGTAATACCTTGGAAGTCAACTTCTGGCTCAGAGTTTTTAAACGAAAGATTTTTTTTCTGTTGGTACTACCTTGGTTCATCTTATGAATAGGCTTCATGAGTCATGATCTGCTTCATAATCAGAGAATGAAAAGCGGATTAGATTTCTGTAACTGTACGTGTGTGCCTAAAAACATGTACAGATAGAGTGGTGACATAAAGGATACACAGAAGTACAGTTTTCATCAGGAGAAAACGTTCTCTTGACTGTGTGATACACCTTAACCTTAAATGTTCTTTTTTTTTTTTTTTTTTATTTTTAATTTGGAACAGATGAAATGTCTGAGAAAGTCCATCTAGTTCTCAGGGTGGGAGTGGAGAGGTCATTTTAGGCACTTGCATATCAGGCTAGACCTGAGATCCATGTGTGAACACCTGTCCTTTGGCGTTCCTCCTTTTTCTCCCCAGCAAAAATATCACTCAAAGGTTGGGGTAACACTTGTTTATTAAAGGTCTGTTAGCAACGGTACTGGCCTCGGGTTGGTTGTGTTGACATCTGCAGAGCAGTTATAACGTATTTACCGACACCTCTGCCAAGAGCAAGTCTTCCACCTTGGAGATATTCAAAAGCTGTCTGGACATGGTCCTGGGAAACTTGGATCTAGGTGGCCCTGTGTGAGCAGGGCGGCTGAACCAGATGACCTCCAGAGGTCCCTTCCTACCTCAACCAGTCTGATTCGGTGATACTCACAAATGAGGCTGATTGTCTGGTTTCCTTTTCCTTGTGGAAGTGTTACCTAAGTGGAACTACATTGGTATGTAGTGGATGGAATGCTGAGTTAAAAGGACAGTCAGAACTGAAGTCTGGTCCTGCACGGTCATCCCCTGATTGGAAACCATGTTCGTTTAGCTCCTCTTCCCAGTTGGCAGCTTGTCACTAACAAGAGACAAAAGCAGAACAAGACGAAGAAATCAGGGCACACTTTAAAGTTACACTCTGCTTATGACTTAAGCAAGTCAGGCCCAATGCCCAAAGAGAATAGCTGGGGAAAAGCAAATCTTCAGCCACTAACTCTATTATACAAAGTTAAATGTCATTTTAATGTGTTCATCATATGGGATTCTTTAATGGGTTATTCTGTGAAAATGAAGATATTAGCAATTATCTTTTCTATATTTGATAAATTAAATTTGTTCTGGAAATTTGTCTGAGTTGATAATGCCCTGAGAACAAACAACACTCCACTATGGATTAGCTTCCCCCCCTCGCCAAGGGAGCATTTCAATGTTACACGCTAAAAGAAACGTAAAAGATTCTGTACTTGCAGAAGAAGTTCTGTACTTGCAGAAGAAGTTTGCAGAAGGCTCCCTCTTTGAATGCTCAGCGTAACTGAAAAACTTGACACTGAAATTTCATGGTAAAGAAAATTTATTCTTTGAGATTCTATCAGGCACTTAAAAAGAGCCACCCGAGGTCGCTTGTAGCTGTACTTCAATTCACCCACCTTGTATGCATTTCTTTGGCCTTCTATCTGCTTAGAGAAGCCAAGGTCTGGGAGATCTGGGGAGAAGACAGTCTCAACTGGTCATTTCTCCCTTGAATATAGACACTTGAAGTGATTTTTTAGGTCTCATGGAAAAAGGTGTGTGTGTGTGCTCCTTTTTAAAATCTGCAGATATTACTGGGAATTTGAATGACTGACCAGCCACAAAAATCAAAATTCATAGTGTGCTGTAATGACTACTCATGCTAGATAACGTGTTAATATTATGGACAGCAAGATAAAATTTCTAATAAAGATCTAAAATCACATTAGAAAAGAAATTAGGTACTTTGATTTTTATGAAGAGTCAAATAGAATTCATCTGGCAATTTGAATGTAAATAATCATTTCAACTAGTTTATTAGCAGAATTAGTAAACTAGTTTCAGTCTAGATCAAGATATAATATTGCTCACCATTTCAAAGTATATGATTATATTTTTTTTTTATTTTAAATTGTCTTTCATAACTCAGAAGAAAATGATAGTCACCCCTGCTATGAAACTAGCATTGTGAAAACTATTTTTAAGTGTCAAATGGTTTCTTAACTTTTGTATTTTTATATCTTTATTTATAGTTTAAAATACTGTTTCCTGAAATACTACTGGAAGAAACAATAGATGTTTCATTGTTGTTTTTTTAAGATCCTGTGAAATTTGATGAGCAAATCCTGTACGGTAAACTGATGAAGCTTCTAGATGAAGAAAACAAGATGCTAGACTTCCAAGGTAAATAATGAAATCATTTGCATAAAGAAAAATAAAACTCTTCTGAGTCTGGATGCGGGGAGGAGAGTGGGTAATCCATCCCCTTGAACTCAGGAGCAAAAGGGACATTGATTTTAATGCAAGCCTGTAAATTCTTTTTCCCCAAATGTTTTTGTTTTGGGTCATGTTTATGTGGTTTTAAGTGTAACTTAAGTGGCGTGCTTTCTTTAGGCTGCATGTTGAATTCCACCCTTATGAAAGAAGACTGGAAATATCATTGCTTATGTGCTCAAAGCTAGACATCTGAATCCTTATTTAAGCTCATACAATGGGTGGCCATTTGTCAGACGTACGGGTCATGTCACACAGTGTTTGAGGTTATCTACATAAGGATTTACTTACAGGTGAGTAAGTTTTCTGTGGCTTTGTTGGAAAATACAAATTGATGTTCCATCTACAGTAAGAACAACAAAGTGTAGGAGAAGAGAATTCTTCTCAAGCCAACAGCCTTGCTTTGGCTTCAGTTACTTTTACAGGCATTATTTAACACCCAGTTGATTCACAAGACCCAGTTATCACTACAACCTTAAAACAAGGTGCATGTCTGCTGCTCTCCTCTCGTTCATCCTAGGAGAAGTGACGTATGAACAAGCCCAGGCTCAGGGCTGCCGTATTTTTGGGTATCCCCCCCTCCTTTTTCAGCAGAGGTTTTTTGTGCAAAAGTATTTTCTGTTCTTTGTATCTGTATGAGGTTTCCTGTTATATTTCAATTATACATAGGACCTACTCTGCCAGAGAGACAGAGCAGGCGGTTGCCTACGGCACTGGAGCTCCAGGAGCTGCAACATGTTTTATGACTATTTAGTTTGTGAGCAACTTTGTTCTGGAAGAGGCAAACATTTTCATTTGCCTAGGGTTGCAAAATCCCTTGAACTGGCACTGGTCATATCAGTAACATCTTTGAAACCCATTTTGTCTCATTTTAAATGCAAGGAAAAGAAAGTACAACTGCCACAGCTAAATTCATGCAGATAGTTTAAGCAAAAACCTTTAACAAATTATTAGCAAGCTTTCTATTGTTGCATGTTAATGTAGAGTTCCACTTTGCTGAGAAAGATTATAGCAGTGCTTCAGGTTGATTGTTGCTTTTATCCTGCAACAGCATAGATGAAAATAAAAATATGTTTGGCTATGAAGTCAACATGATTTCTACAGGAAAGATTGATGGGGTGTCTATCTGTGGTACTTATGTAGTCCCTGTCTACCAATATTTATAGCATTTCATATTCTTCAATAGCTTTATCATCAAAATAACCCTGTACGATTAAGGAAAATGTCCTGATGTCATTTTACAGGCTGCCCCAGGTGGGGTCTACCCTTTCCATTAGCTTTCTGAAAGTTAGCTTCTGGGGCTCCCCAAAAGTGGTGGGAGAGGGAGAGAGAAGCACCTCTGGGCAGTTGTTCAGCCCACCTCACGCAGACACCTCTTAGCTGATTAGACAAATTACACCCTGGAAGCAGTTCTTCTCTTTCCTTTGGCTCTAGAAGGATTGGACAACTGACTTAGACTCGACTGTTGCTTTTTGCATGGCCAAAGGTAGGTGAGCCAAATTGCACCGTGTGTATTTGTCCACTTTTAAGCAAGGGAAGCAGGGAAAGAAAGGGAAGCCTTCCCCATCCATCAGTGGTTACTCTCTGCTTCAGTTAGGTGCCCTAAAACTTCATATTGTATTACAAATAACGTTAATGAATATTCTTAAGATGAACAGATGCTTTACAGAAGATAACAGCAAATAGCATATTTAGAGAGAAATAAGGTTTCACTGATCTCCTCAGATGTTTATAATTTAAACTCACCAGGTATGTTTGAACAAAAAATGTCTTTGTCTCCAACTAGTTTTATCAAACTACCATGAGAGGCAAAATGCTCTTATTACGGCTTGCCGACGTGGGGTGTGAGACAGGTTCAAATCTCTCATCCATCCAAAGCCATTTGCACGTACGTGGTGTGCTCTGCGGACGGTGATCTCGTGCTGAGGCTGCCGAGGTTGCTGAGCTGCCAGCTCACTGATTCAACCCAAGGGCAAGCAAACGCATTGACGCGCCTGTCTCGCAGTCCAGGTGCACGTCAGAGCCCCCCATGTAGGCATGAAGGCAGCGAGTGGGGGAGACGCCGCAGCCCGCCGCTGTCTTGTGTCTCGAGTGCTGCCACAGTGCTTTTATTTCTTAAAAGTGCCATAATGGGTATCAGAGCTAGTCCCGCTGCTGAATGTTGCGCCTCGTCCTAGCTGAATTTTTTACTTTTCTTAGCTTGGGTGAATAAAATCCAGAAAAGAGCAAGATTTTCCTGAGGAAGTGAGGCTTGTGCAGTCTCCACCTCTGTGTGCGTGTATCAGGCTGTATTTATTTCTGCCTGTCTGTGTTTCTCCCTCCCAATTTTTGAACCTCTTGTTCACTTCCAAACCCTTTTTTTTAACAGAGAGCAAGTCTGACTTCCCTACCAGTTTTATGGAAGTGGGCAGCTGAGCAGAGCAGACAAGCATTATTAATGTCTCCACTGAGGGAAAAGCTAATATGGGAGTTTGACCCTTATTAGACATCAGAAAAATCCATAGAAAACTAGGATTCATTTGGTTCCACTCTTACAGAACTGTTTCCTTTCTTCATTTGACCACTGAGCTGAAAAATCACGTAGTCATACAGTCCTAATTAATAGATGACCCCCAAAGGAAAGGAAAGAACATGGCTCAGAATTTATATAATTGTATATTTAAAGCATTTTGTCGTTGAGTAACCTGTTGGTCAGTGTTGGGGTATGCGTTAGTTCATATTATAAGGCAACTTAAAAGGCCAATATTGGTTGTTTGCTTTTTAGAGAAAGATGTAGACTGTATATTTTTTACCTAGGGATAAAATCTCTCAAACATTGTAAGATCATGATCCATGCACATCTAAAATGATGCTAGGTGAAATACCATAAAAAATATTTTCCATTATGTTATTATTTGGCAACAACTGAAAAATTGAAGTGCAATGTTTTGCAGCATGTTAGTTGTTTGAAACTGATGCATGAGCCTTCGGTGGTGTACTTTTTTAGCTACAATTTCTATACAGAGTCTTCTAGAACCAGGCAGCCAAAATGCGTTTTCCATGCGGAGTTTATAGCTGCTTTATACATTTAAACCCATGCTGAGGTGTAGTCTGCTGGTGAACCTACCCTTTAAACTCTCATCTCGGTATATAAACCACTGCTATCTGATGGACAAATGCAGGAGTAAATGAAGTTACAAGCAGCCAAGCTTGTAACCGGAGAGATTATTTTAATTACAGCACAGCATCTGCAAACACAGCCTGTGTTAAGGAGAAGTGATTTAAACTACGTAGAAAGTATGACTTGCAGTGTTAAGTACAGCTGAGGCAATGAAAAGTTTGATGCAGACGCTAACAACTTGAAGCAGCCAGTTTTTAATTAGTTTATCAATCTACCAATGAATTTCCTCATAAATTTTCAGCGGTTTTGTCCCGTGTGTACAAAGTAGTAACGTTTTTAACACCGTAGCTACTTCTGCACAAGAAGGAGGTGGAGGCTTTGTTTTGGTCAAGCGTTGCTCTGGGGCAACAGCTCAAGCCTGTAACCTGTGGGTCAGTTCAGACAAGGAGCAACCCGATGGGGACCGAGTTTCAGAAGTCTCTTTGCAAAGCTAGTGCGGAAGGAGCAGACCAGCTGAACAACCCCGTTCTCTCCCTGTCTCCAGCTCAGGCAAATGAACAGTTTTTCCAATTGTGCTTAAATGAGTATATGTAGCTTTTTATCAAATACTTTTCCAATCTGGATCGTAATTTATCTCTGTATTTTTACCAGTTATGTCCCTCGAAAAGGCTTTTGAAAATGTTCTTTCTCTTCTTTTGCTCTTTTTTTCCACAAAACACGTACTAATGAGCTCAGTGTCTTCCACCAAAACTGAGTTCACTTGATACGATTCCTCACAAAAATAATGAACACAAAAAAGGAAAAGGATATTTTGATGAATCACTGCATGGTCATCTTTGTGAACCAAATGTTTTTATTCCTTTTTTGATGTATAAGGACTATCTCTCTACACCCAGAGGATCCTGAGATAGGAATGTACAGTCTTCCCAGGATGTAAACTTGCACTGCTCCTGTGAAAGCAGTAAAGCAGCTGATTTACACCAGCTGAGCATATGGCCCATTGTGTACAACACAGCATCGAGGGGAACAAGCAATGCTGCATCTTCTGCTGTTGGCAATGTTTCCTTTTCCAGCGCTTCCTGGATTTTCTCTCTCTCCTAGCCAAACCCTTAATGTTACAGTAAATTTAAATGTAAATATTGTTTTGTTTTTGCAGTTAACAGTTGTAGGTCAAATCACTTTTCATTAGGCTTGTAGGATGCTACACGAAGAGATTGTGTACCCTAAGGTCATGGTTTGGGTTGTTTATATCTACTGTACACTTCCCCCAACATGATTTTGAATTGTATCCTGTTGTAATTAAATAAAAAACCCACCCTACTTCCTGTGTGTTGGTGGCACCGAGGTGATTTAAGTACGCGGGAGACTCAACAATTAAAGTCATTAAACAATGAGTAGTGAGCAAAACTGAAAATTTTAATAGCCTTAGTTTTATCTTTCCTTTTCTGGTCTTCATTAGAGAATGAAAGACTTCAAAGGGGAGTGAGGGAAAAAAAAAATCTTTTAACTGCTTTCATGTCTTAGGATGGGCAAAGAGAAAAACAAATAACTAGATATGGCAGTTTCTTGCAGAGAGAGGCACAGAGAACTATAAAGACATGCACTTACACACAGAAATATGAGGTAAGAAAGATAAAGTCAGATGTGGACAACCTGATATCTGTCATTTCTTAGTGATCCTAAGATGGACAAATGAGCAAAAATAGTCGTCTTTATTATTTATGAACCAAACTAGTATTAGTACTGTAGCAGATATCAATGAGAAGATCTATTTTTTACATAGCATGATGAATTAAACTGAAAAAAGGACACAGCTTCTCTTTAAGGTCAACTTTATGAATGGGATTTATTTATATTTGTGTGCAGCGTGTACCCTTTGGTTCTGCATACGTCACCACAGTGAATTCAGGGGAATGATGTGGGTGAGAGCAGAATCGGACCCCATTAATTAGGTAGGAGCTGCACGCACACACCTGGGGGAGGAATCTGATCCTCCGGGGTGAGTGGGAGGAAGATGAAATGCTCGGTGTGGATCCGCCTAAAACTCCCTTTCAGTTGCAGTTATTCCTCCTCTTACTCGGGAGTGAAAGCCAAAGTCGTTCCAAATCCCAATTCCTTTAAGATTTACAGGGGAGCGACATGACCATGGAAATGCAGAGCACCCCTTTGTAAGATTATTTAAGGAACAAGCTGCACATGCTAAATTTGTCCCTCTGTGCAGATGTTGCTCTTGAGGAGAGTGTTCCTGCTAATGGCACTTGGAACCTGCCAGTTGTCCTACTGCTGTTGTTTATTACTGTTCATTTTATGGCATGAATTGTTGCCTTAAAACATTGGTGGGCCAAACCAGAAGGTACTAACCAGTGAATGAACGCCCATTTGCTAAAAGTTAATCTGCCACTTTTGTTTCAAACAGCCCGTGTCGCCAGTGAAGATTTTCCAGACTCCGTGATGCCTGTCAGCTCCAGTAAGGCACGTGACCTTCACAGGGAGCTTGAAGATGAAGTGATTCTTTCGTATATCGAACAGTTTGAGAGAGATGCTCAGGATGACATAATTCTGCTTGGCAGCTTTTCACTGGAACAGGTCAGAGTTAAGAACTATAAGACAATTTTATCGCTTGCTTCATAACATGATGCTGGCTTGTTAACCTTGTACACCCCAATTCTATTTCACTGCCCAGCGATACATATATTGAAAGGGGAGAAGATAACCCATTTCATTGGCTTGCTTTATGTGACTGGCACTTTGCTAAGCTAAGAGCAGGGCCTTTATCTTTGTCTCCATTTCAATGTGAATAAAAATAGATTGCCTTCCTTGCTTTTTTCCTAAATAGTGGAGTGTCTCTGACTGCTCTGTAGTAAGTATTGCAATTGAGTTTCAATCAAGAGCCTAAGCTTAGGACATCTCTCTCTGCCAAATTTAACAGAGACTTATTCATTTATCAATGAGCAAGTTCAGATTGGAGCCCAGGAAGGACTTATGTAGCAATATTCATTGTAGAGAGGATAAGATTATTCCCAAATTATAAATCTGTTGTGTTTTTTAGAGTAGCAAAGTTTCCTATGGTTTTCTTTTTGTCATTTCATAGTCTAAAGAGACAAGGTCAGGTTCATGTTGACAAAGGCATGAGTTTTCAGGGCTGAAATGATACTTGTGGGCACCTAACTACCATTTGTCCCTTTGAAAAATCTCGTACCGAGACTAGGGGACAGGAAGAAAGATTAATTGATGAATCTATCATTTTTAATTAGCAACATGAGAACAGCGCAGTGGCTCTGATGGGCTTAAAATAGGTTACCCAGTGACTGATGGTGATCTAAGCTTTCTTTTATTTTCAGAGGAAGTTTTTAGAATTTTTTCATTGCAGGACTAAACCTCATCATTGCCTTCAGCATGTTGGTGAGGGACACAATTCACTTCCTTGCTGCTTCCTCCTAAATCCTTGTGCTGACTTTTTTGTAGCTGTATGCGTCATGCATAGAAGATGGTTTGGGGAACATTGTTCAGAGAAATGGGAGGGAAACATGAGGGAAAAGGACTTGGATAGTACTAAGAGCATCGCCTGCCTCGGGACTGATGGAGTAGGAACCTGGGAACAAGTGAACAGAGAGTGCTGCACCCTTCCTGAAGACTTTATAATACATTGAGAGTTTACACTTTAAGTTTGGGCTATTCGGATGCCCCCAAAGATTCATGAGGCTCTGTGACACCTGAAGGAACACAATAGATTTGTTAATCCTCTGTTTACCCTCCCTCTAAACACAGTCACTGGAAGACTGATTGTGTTAGACTCTTTTTGGAGGTGTTCAGCAAAGCTTGTTTCCTGGACAGGAGCAAGCTATCCGGTCATCCCAAAACATTGCTTTTTAACTGACAACTGCATATGTGAATCCACATGTAATACAATATAATATTGCATTTCTTCCTTATTTCCTTCCAAAAGAAAGAAAATCCTCATTTAATGTGATTGAGCTGGTCTACCACGGCCTTACAGATAGGAACTCCATACTGCACAGAGAGGTCTTGAATGCCTGTGTTTTCTGTCCCTTCCTCCCACATATCTCTAACTTCTGCTGTCCATGCCCTGTTTAGGAATTCAGTCATACTGACATAGTATCTGCTGTCACATCTGCACCTGCAATGCAGAAGGTAACAGGAGGATCACTGTAAAATCTATATTGCCTTCTAAATCAGTGACGTATACGTCCATCCTTTCCTGGAAGCACATAGAAATGGTGCATTCAGCCACTTTGAACAGAAAATGGAAGGTGACATTGGAAGCAGGGGCTGCAAACATGCACCTCTTACATCATACTAGTATTCAAAGACATCTAACAATAACGTGAACATGCTTTATTCTTCTTTAATTGACCTTCTTTATTTTTTAATGGACTGTCTTTACTCTTTGATCTGTGGATATACCTCTGCAGCACCGCAGCGTCGATGCCTTTCCGCGGCAGCTACAGGTTCAGTGTTAGACTTGCTGCCTCGGTCTTCAGAATCTGTCGCTGCCATCTTTGGGACGCTTCCAGCTTTTGTTGTTTGAGTATATATTTATTAGTTTGAAAAAGCCTTTAATTTGCCGCACGGCATTTACTTCTTATTCAGAAAAAAATCCCCTTCCCTTCTTTCTTCAGGTTTAGTAAGTAGCAGATGTACTTTAGCCAGCGTAATTTATGATTAGTTAATTTAATCTGCCATAATGACATAAAGTGAGCCTGAAACAAGCTTCTATCAATTTTGCCGTTAGAGGTAACATAATATTTTCAAATGTCTACCAAACTGAGTAATTAACCCTCGGGCTGAGTGAAGGAGTCTAATAGACATCTCTCTCACATTCCTTTGCTTTGACAAAATTAAAACAAAACATGGGAGCCCAAGGGTTAAAAATAGCAAGTGAGAGTTTACAGTACATGAGACTGGTTTTATAAGCAAGATTCAGAAACACACTTGAGTTGCTGCTGTTTCTCTTTAGGCTGCCAAAAATTCCCTCCAATGAGGCATCTGATTTACACTAGAGTTTTGCTGGCAGCGTTGGCACGAAGAGGACAGCTATGTATTAATTATCTATCCCTTAGTTCATCGCTTTTCTTCTCTGCTTTGTAGCTTTACAGTAAATGGGTGGCTTTTGTTTAAACAGGAGCTCAGTGCATGAGATCACCATGATAAAAGTTTTTGAAAGAGCAGATGCACTTTCCAAAATAATAATAAAAAAAAAAGGTTTAAAAGATTTTAGCTCTGGAACTTTAGGCTGTGTCGTTTCTTACTTCATGTTCTGTTTCGTAAATGCAAAAACTGACAGTTGAGGTTGACAAGAAATACATAAGGGGAGATCTGATAGATTCTTGTAAAGAAAGCATTAAACAGATGTCAATGTTCTGTTAACAAACACATTAAAGAATATTAAATTTGGAAAGCAGTACTGTTTCCTGCGGCCTACCATGTAGGCCTACAGATTTCAAAAGCCCCAATGACATTTGCTTTTAATAAAGAAAAATAAACTCTATTGAGAGAAAATCATAACTTAGGGACTGTGTTGTGGTAGAAGCTGAGCAGGTACAACCAAGGCAGGGTATGCAGAATGCCGCAGAAAACCATCTGTCATGAGACAATGCAGGGCCACATGCTTATGGGCAGAACTTGATCTTACAGAACAGAGAAACATGCAAGGAAAGACCTGACATAATGCTGGCTTAATGTGTTTGATTAAAGGCAAGATGCTTTCAAAACATGAGAGACGCTGCCGAGGATGAAGCAAACACTGGTGATTGGGGTGAGATTGCACTTGACGGGCCTTTGGCAACATAATCTTGCCAGTCATTAATTCAAATGCCATGGAGAAGTACTAGCTCTAGGATTTTCAGCTGTTTCTGAACTGAGACAATGAAAGTGATTACTCAGTTTTATGTGGGTTGTCTCAGAAGAAATTATTAGTGGGGCAATTGTAAGGATCAATACTGCCCCAGAAGTCAAGAACATCTTTCCTACTTGACCATCTTCTACCTGCAACTTGGTCAGTATTCTTAACTAAAGGTAATTTGTTCACAGTCTCTGTTTCTCTCTACAGGATTCAGCCCTCTGTACTGGGCATAACACCTTGCAGGACTTGGTCATTACAACTATAATAATCAGTTTTGATCCATGACCTCAATGTGAATTACTCAAGAGCCTCTAAAAGTAAAGTGCAAGTTTTGCTCTTCAGTACCAGCAGTTGAGTTACAGTAGTAAGAAATGAGCTATTTGTTGCAGGTGGATAGTAATAAAATGTTGCCTTTCATCAAGAGATTTACCTTTTGGTTAAACAAAGGTTAATGCCTCTGGGCATTAGACCTAATATTCTTACAGGGTCAATATCATCACTGCTCTGACTCCTTGCCAAGTCACAAAGAGATCAATTTATATGATGATGGAGTGATCAGTTTTTCTTTGGTTAATGGTAGATAACAGGTGGGTAAAATTTGGTACTATGTAAGGCAATGACAAATCTACCCTCCAACCAGGAATTTAATTAGTGGGATCAGGCCTCGGTCACATAAAACACCAATGGACATTTGCTTGCATGTTCTACCCCATTGGATAATACTGTCGTTTATATCCTGATGGTACCCGCAGACCTCTCCTCATCAAAGCATTGTACAATCCTGTGTGATCGTTCTTTGTGAATACTTGTGTGATGTGCACCTAAGACCGATGCAGAATTGAAGGTGACCTTTCCTCAGCGGAAACCTGGCTACTCCTTTTTGATATTTGCCAAGATTTGAAATAACTGTGGTGTTCAAATGAGTCATTTTTTTGTTTTACTGAGAGTTGCAGGTCAAGAATACAAAAGCTGGCAATGTTTCTTTTACGCCATGTTTTAAAATTGGGTGACTTCATTTACCTATATGCTACACTCATTATTTGAGTGTCAAAGCACCTCTACAGTCTCTTAGTGTAATGGTTTCCATTTCATTTATGTGATATAGTAGGAATTGCAGGTATCTCCATTTTACAGAGGAAGAACAAGGGCACAGATAGACTGAAATCTACACCTGTCAGAAGTGCTTAGCACCTAATTTCCTTTTGAAATCTGTCATTAGGCCAAGCTCATCGAATTCGTTATAATCCTGCTAGGTGGGCTGCTCCAGGACTGGTGAAAAAGCACTTCACTGAAACCTATGTTTGAGGGGAAAAAAATACAAGGTGAACTTCCCAAGGTCTGGGGTATCAGGCTTCTGGCCCTTGCACTTCTGATGTCGTGCCTAGTGAGTGTCCGTGATCCTCAGATGTGCGTCAGCACCCACCCAGGAGACCCAGCACTGACCAAGATGCCAGTACGTGTAGCTAGGGGACTTCTCTACCCCGTAGGCTGGCAACCTGAGATTTCTAAATATCTTTATTCTATCAGGCTTGCTCCTGCTTCCTCAGTGGGAAGCCTGGGAACCCTCCCAATTTCTAAGGTTCCTCCTCATTTCTTCTGGACACTCAGATATACATACTTTTTTTTTTTTTAAGAGGTGGGAGAGATGGAAGAGGGAGCATGGAAATGAATGTTAAAATAAGCAGAACTGTGGAAAAGGTATTTTATATGTTTATAAAGGGCC